ATTCCCTTTTTCTCCCCCCAAATTCCCTCATTTTTCCCCTTAAAATTCCCCTATTTTCTCCCTAAAATTCCCTTTTTTCTCCCTAAAATTCCCTTTTTTTCCCCTTTAAATTCCCTTTTTTTCTCCCTAAAAATTCCCTTTTTTCCCCCAAAATTCTCTCTTTTTTCCCCTTAAAATTCCCTTTTTTTCTCCCTAAAAATTCCCTTTTTTCTCCCTAAAATTCCCTTTTTTTCCCCTAAAATTCCCATTTTTTCTCCCTAAAAATTCCCTTTTTTGCCCCAAATTCCCTCTAAAATTTCCCTTTTTTCCCCTTAAAATTCCTCATTTTTCTCTCTAAAATTCCCTTTTTTCCCCTAAAATTCTCTTTTTTTCCCCCTAAAATTCCCTTTTTCTCCCCCCAAATTCCCTCATTTTTCCCCTTAAAATTCCCCTTTTTTCTCCCTAAAATTCCCATTTTTTCTCCCTAAAAATTGTCTTTTTTCCCCAAAAATTCCCTTTTTTTCTCCCTAAATTTCCCTTTTTTTCCCCCTAAAATTCCCCTTTTTTTCACTCTAAAATTCCATTTTTTCCTCTAAAAATTCTCTTTTTTCTCTCTAAAATTACCATTTTTTCCCCTAAAATTCTCTCTTTTTTCCCCTTAAAATTCTCTTTTTTCTCTCTAAAATTCTCCTTTTTTTCCCCTAAAATTCCCTTTTTTCCCCTAAAATTCTCTCTTTTTTCCCCTTAAAATTCTCTTTTTTCTCTCTAAAATTCTCCTTTTTTTCCCCTAAAATTCCCCTTTTTTCCCCCTAAAATTCCCTTTTTTCCCCTTAAAATTCCCTTTTTTCTCTCTGAAATTCCCTTTTTTTTCTCCCTAAAATTCTCTCTTTTTTCCCCTTAAAATTCCCTTTTTTATCCCCTTTAAAATTGCCATTTTTCTCCCCTAAAATTCCCTTTTTTTCCCCTTAAAATTCCCTTTTTTCTCCCTAAAAATTCCCTTTTTTCCCCTAAAATTCCATTTTTTTACCCTTAAAATTCCCTTTTTTCTCTCTAAAATTCCCTTTTTTTTCCCCCTAAAATTCCTATTTTTTCCCCTAAAATCCCCTTTTTTCTCCCTAAAAATTCCCTTTTTTTCCCCCTAAAATTCCTTCATTTTTCCCCTAAAATTCCCTTTTTTCCTCCCATAAAATTCCCTTTTTTTCCCCCTAAAATTCCCCTTTTTTCCCCCCAAATTTCCTCTCTCTCTCCCCAAAAAATCCCATTTTTTCTCCTAAATTTTCTCTTTTTTCTCCCTAAAAATTCTCTTTTTTCCCCCCAAAATTCCCTCATTTTCCCCCTTAAAATTCCCTTTTTTTTCCCCTGAAATTCCTTTTTTTTCTCCCTAAAAATTCCCTTTTTTTGCCCCAAATTCCCTCAAAAATTCCCTTTTTTTCCCCCTAAAATTCCCCTTTTTTCCCCTTTAAATTCCCTTTTTTTCCCCTTAAAATTCCCATTTTTTCCTCCCTAAAAATTCCTTTTTCACCTTAAAATTCCCATTTTCCCCCCAAAATTCCCTCATTTTCCCCCTTAAAATTTCCTCCTTCTACCTCTTAAAATTCCCTTTTTTCCCTTCAAAATTGCCTCATTTTTTCCTCATTTTTCCCCCAAATTTTTCCAGATTTTCCCCCCAATTTTCCCTTTTTTTTTTTTGCTTTTTTCCCTCAATTTCCCCAAATTTTTCCTGATTTTTCCCTGAATTTTTCCCAATTTTTTCCCAAACTTTTCCTGAATTTTTCCCTGATTTTTTCCCAATTTTTCCTGATTTTTTCCCAAATTTTTCCTGATTTTTCCCCAAATTTTTTCCCATTTTTTCCCCAAATTTTTCCCAGTTTTCCCTGATTTTTTTCCCAATTTTTCCAGATTTTTTCAACAATTTTTCCTGAATTTTCCCTGATTTTTTCCAGATTTTTTCCCATTTTTTTCCTGATTTTTTCCCAATTTTTTCTCCCAATTTTCCCCATTTTTTCCTGAATTTCCCCAAATTTTCCCTGATTTTTTCCCAATTTTCCCTGAATTTTTTCCCAATTTTTTCCCAATTTTTTCTCATTTTTTCTCCCAAATTCCCCCAATTTTGTTCTGATTTCTTTCCCAAATTTTTTCCCAATTTTTCCCATTTTTTCCTCATTTTTCACAATTTTTTATTCTGATTTTTTCAGATTTTTTCCCAAATTTTTTCCCAATTTATGACCAAATTTTTCCCAATTTTCCCAGATTTTTTTCCCAATTTTTCCTGAATTTTCCCCCAATTTTTCCTGAATTTTCCCTGATTTTTTTCCAGATTTTTCCCAATTTTTTCCTGATTTCTTTCCCAATTTTTTTCCCAATTTTCCCCATTTTATTCCTGATTTTCCCCAAATTTTTCCTGATTTTTTCCCAAATTTTTTCCCATTTTTTTCCCAATTTTCCCTGATTTTTTTCCCAATTTTTCCTGAATTTTTTTCCCAATTTTTCCTAAATTTTCCCAGATTTTTTCCAGATTTTTCCCGAATTTTTCCTGATTTTTTTCCCAAATCTTTTCCCATTTTTTTCCCAAATTTTTCCCAATTTTCCCTGATTTTTTTCCCAAATTTTCCCTCATTTTTTCCCCAATTTTTCCTGAATTTTCCCAGATTTTTTTCTAGATTTGTCCCAAATTTTTTCTGATTTTTTCCCTGATTTTTTTACCAAATTTTTCCAATTTTTCCTGATTTTTTCCCAATTTTTCCCGATTTTTCCTGATTTTTTTCCCAATTTTCCCTGAATTTTTTCCCAATTTTTCCTGAATTTTCCCTGATTTTTTCCCGATTTTTTCCCAATTTTTTCTCATTTTTTTCTCCCAAATTCCCCCAATTTTTTCCTGATTTCTTTCCCAATTTTTTCCCAATTTTCCCCATTTTATTCCTGATTTTCCCCAAATTTTTCCCATTTTTTTCCCAAATTTTTTCCCAATTTTTTCCCAAATTTTTCCCCATTTATTCCTGATTTTCCCTGATTTTTTTCCCATTTTTTTCCCCAATTTTTCCTGATTTTTTCCCAAATTTTTGCTGAATTTTCCCTGATTTTTCCCAAATTTTTTCCTAAATTTTTCCCAAATTTTCCCTGATTTTTTCCCAATTTTTTTCCCAATTTTCCCAGATTTTCCCCAATTTTTTATGATTTTTTTCTCCCAAATTCCCCCAATTTTTTCCTGATTTCTTTCCCAATTTTTTCCCAATTTTCCCCATTTTTTCCTGATTTTTCCCAATTTTTTATTCTGATTTTTTCCTGATTTTCCCCAAATATTTTTGGGATTTTTTCCCAAATTTTTTCCCATTTTTTTCCCAAATTTTTCCTGATTTTTCCCAATTTTTTCCCAATTTTCCCTGATTTTTTTCCAGATTTTTCCCAATTTTTTCTGATTTTTTCCCCCAAATTCCCCCAATTTTTTCCTGATTTCTTTCACAATTTTTTCACCGAATTTTCCCCATTTTTCCCTGATTTTTTCCCAAATTTTTCCCTAATTTTTCCCAATTTTTTCCTGAATTTTCCCAGATTTTTTCCCATTTTTTTCTCATTTTTTTCCCAAATTTTTCCCAATTTTCCCTGATTTTTTTCCCAATTTTTCCAGAATTTTCTCTGATTTTTTCCCAATTTTTCCTGAATTTTTATCCCAATTTTTTCCCAATTTTTCCCCATTTTTTCCTGATTTTCCCCAAATTTTTCCTGATTTTTCCCCAAATTTTTTCCCATTTTTTCCCAAATTTTTCCCAATTTTCCCTGATTTTTTTCCCAATTTTTCCTGAATTTTCCCTGATTTTTTTCCAGATTTTTCCCAATTTTTTCTGATTTTTTCCCCCAAATTCCCCCAATTTTTTCCTGATTTCTTTCCCAAATTTTTTCCCAATTTCCCCATTTTTTCCTGATTTTCCCCAATTTTTTATTCTGATTTTTTCCTGATTTTCCCCAAATATTTTCGGATTTTTTCCCGAATTTTTTCCCATTTTTTCCCCAAATTTTTCCTGATTTTTTCCCATTTTTCCCTGATTTCTTCCCAATTTTTCCTGAATTTTTTTCCTGATTTTTTTCCCAAATTTTTCCTGATCTTTTCCCAAATTTTTCCCAATTTTTCCCAATTTTTTCCTGAATTTTCCCAGATTTTTTCCCATTTTTTTCTCATTTTTTTCCCAAATTTTTCCCAATTTTCCCTGATTTTTTTCCCAATTTTTCCAGAATTTTCTCTGATTTTTTCCCAATTTTTCCTGAATTTTTTTCCCAATTTTTCCTGAATTTTCCCAGATTTTTTCCCAATTTTTTCCCAATTTTCCCCATTTTTTCCTGATTTTTCCCCAAATTTTTTCCCATTTTTTTCCCAAATTTTCCCCAATTTTTTTCCAAATTTTTTCCCATTTTTTCCCAAATTTTTCCTGATTTTTTTCCCAATTTTCCCTGATTTTTTTCCCAAATTTTTCCTGATTTTCTCCCATTTTTTCCCAAATTTTTCCCAATTTTCCCTGATTTCTTCCCAATTTTTCCTGATTTTTTCCCAATTTTTCCTGAATTTTCCCTGATTTTTTTCCCAATTTTTTCCCCATTTTTTTTTCTCCTTTTCCCCCCCATTTTTCCTCTCCCAAAATTCCCGGACTTTCCCAAAATCCTGGAATTTTCTTTCCCAGAATTCCATGGAAAACCCGGCCTTGGAGATGCACGACTCGAGCCCTCCTGATTCATCCCGGAGCAAAGAGGTACCCAAAGAATTCCCAAAAATTCCCAAAGAATTCCCAAAAATTCCCAAAAATATTCCCAAAAATTCCCAAAAAATTCCCCAAAAATTCCCCAAAAATTCCCAAAGAATTCCCAAAATATTCCCAAAAATATTCCCAAAAATTCCCCAAAAATTCCCCAAAAAATTCTCCCAAAATTCCCAAAAAAATCCCAAAAAAATTCCCAAAAAATTCCCCAAAAATTCCCAAAAATTCCCAAAGAATTCCCAAAATATTCCCAAAGAATTCCCAAAAATTCCCAAAGATTTCCCAAAAATTCCCAAAGAATTCCCAAAATATTCCCAAAAATTCCCAAAAATTCCCAAAATATTCCCAAAAATTTCTCCCCAAAATTTCCCCAAAATTCCCAAAAATTCCAAAAAAATTCCCAAAAAAATAAAAAAAAAAATCCCAAAAAAATTCCAAAAAAATTCCCAAAAAAATCCCCAAAAAATTCCCAAAAAAATTCCCCCCAAAATTCCCAAAATATTCCCAAAAATCCCAAAAAAATTCCCAAAAAATTCCTTAAAAATTCTTAAAAAATCCCAAAAAATTCCCAAAAAAATTCCCCAAAATTCCCCAGAAATTCCCCAAAAAAATCCCAAAAAAATTCCCAAAAAATTTCCAAAAATTCCCCCCAAAATTCCCAAAAAATTCCCAAAAAATTCCCCCAAAATTCCAAAAAAATTCCCCCAAAATTCCCCAAAAAATTCCCAAAAAATTCCCAAAAAAATCCCCAAAATTCCCAAAAAATTCCCAAAAAAATCCCAAAAGTCCCAAAAAAATTCCCCCAAAATATTCCAAAAAAATTCCCAAAAATTCCCAAAAAATTCCCAAAAAATCCCCAAAATAGTCCCAAAAAATTTCCCCCAAAATCCCAAAAAAATCCCCAAAAAATTCCCCCAAAATATTCCCAAAAAATTCCTAAAAATTCCCAAAAATTCCCCAAAAAATTCCCCCAAAATCCAAAAAAAATCCCCAAAAAATTCCCAAAAATTCCCAAAAAAATTCCCAAAAATCCCCAAAAAATTCCCAAAAAAATCCCAAAAAAATTCCCCAAAAATTCCCCAAAAATTCCCAAAAATCCCCAAAATATTCCCAAAAAAATCCCCAAAAAATTCCCCCAAAAATTCCCAAAATATTCCCAAAAATCCCAAAAAAATTCCCTAAAAATTCCTTAAAAATTCTTAAAAAATCCCAAAAAATTCCCAAAAAATCCACAAAATATTCCAAAAAAATTCCCAAAATAATTCCCAAAGAATCCCCAAAGAATTCCCAAAAATTCCCAAAGAATTCCCAAAATATTCCCAAAAAATTCCCAAATATTCCCCCCAAAATTCCAAAAAAATTCCCAAAAATTCCCAAAAAATTCCCAAAATTCCCAAAAAACCCAAAAAATTCCCCAAAAATTCTCCTAAAAATTCCCAAAAATTTCCCCCAAAATTCCCCAAAAAATTCCCAAAAAATTCCCCAAAAATTCCCCAAGAAATTCCCCCAAAATTCCCCGGAATTCCCCAAAATCCCCAAAATATTCCCAAAAAAATTCCCCCAAAATTCCCAAAAATTCCCCCCAAAATTCTTCCAAAATCCCCCAAAATATTCCCAAAAAATTCCCAAAAATCCCCGAAAAAAGAGGGGAAAATGGGGAAAAAATGGGGAAAAAATGGGGAAAAATGGGGAAAAATGGGGAAAAATGGGGAAAAATGGGGAAAAAATGGGGAAAAATGGGGAAAAATGGGGAAAAATGGGGAAAAATGAGGGAAAAGAGGGAAAAATGGGGAAAAAAAGGAAAATTGGGGGAAATTAAGGAAAAATGGGGAAATATGGGGAAAAAATAGGGAAAAATGGGAAAAATATGGAAAAATGGGGAAAATGGGGAAAAAATGGGGAAAAAATGGGAAAAAATGGGGAAAAAAGGGAAAAAATGAGGGAAAAATGGGGGAAAATGGTGAAAAAATGGGAAAAAATGGGAAAAAATGAGAAAAAATGGGGAAAAAATGGGAAAAAATGGGGAAAAAATGGGAAAAATTGGGAAAAAAATGAGAAAAAAATGGGAAAAAATGGGAAAAAATGGGGAAAAAATGAGAAAAAAATGGGAAAAAATGGGAAAAAATGTGCAGAAGTTTATTTTTGTTTTTTGCTGGAATTTTTGGGATTTTCAGGATTCGCAGAGCAAGAGGAAAAGCTCCAAGGTGCAATTTTTCCTGAAATGAGGAAAAAATGGGAAAAAATGAGAAAAAAATGAGAAAAAATTGGGGAAAAATTGGGGAAAAAATGAGGAAAAAATGGGGGAAAAAATGGGAAAAAAATGGGGGAAAAAATGGGAAAAAAGGAGGAAAAAATGGGAAAAAAATGGGAAAAAATGGGAAAAAATGGGGAAAAAATGGGAAAAAAATGGGAAAAAATGGGGAAAAAATGGGGAAAAAATGGGGGAAAAAATGGGGAAAAAATGGGGGAAAAAATGGGAAAAAATGGGGGAAAAATGGGAAAAAATGGGAAAAAATGGGGAAAAAATGTGAAAAAATGAGAAAAAAATGGGAAAAAAATGGGAAAAAATGGGAAAAAAATGGGAAAAAAACGGGAAAAAATGGGAAAAAAATGGGGGAAAAAATGGGGGAAAAAATGGGAAAAAATGGGGAAAAATGGGAAAAAATGGGAAAAAATGGGGAAAAAATGGGAAAAAATGAGAAAAAAATGGGAAAAAAATGGGAAAAAAATGGGAAAAAATGAGAAAAAAATGGGAAAAAAATGGGAAAAAATGGGAAAAAGTTAATTTTTGTTTTTTGCTGGAATTTTTGGGAATTTCAGGATTTGCAGAGCAAGAGGAAAAGCTCCAAGGTGCAATTTTTCCTGAAATGAGGAAAAAAGGGGAAAAAATGAGAAAAAAAATGAGAAAAAATGAGAAAAAAATGGGAAAAAATGGGAAAAAAATTGGGGAAAAATTGGGGAAAAAAATGGGAAAAAAATGGGGAAAAATGGGAAAAAAATGAGGAAAAAATGGGGAAAAATGGGGAAAAATGGGGAAAAAATGGGTGAAAAAATGAGAAAAAAATGGGAAAAAAAATGGGAAAAAATGGGGAAAAATGGGGAAAAATGGGGGAAAAAATGGGAAAAAAATGGGAAAAAAATGGGAAACAATGGGGAAAAAAATGGGGAAAAAATGGGAAAAAAATGGGAAAAAATGGGGAAAAATGCGGGAAAAATGGGGGAAAATGGGAAAAAAATGGGAAAAAATGGGGGAAAAAATGAGAAATAATGAGGAAAAAATGGGAAAAAATGGGGAAAAACGGGAAAAAATTGGGGAAAAAATGGGAAAAAATGAGAAAAAATGAGGAAAAAATGGGAAAAAAATGGGGAAAAAATAGGGAAAAAATGGGGAAAAAAATGGGAAAAAATGGAGAAAAAATGGGAAAAAATTGGGGAAAAAATGGGAAAAATTGGGAAAAAATTGGGAAAAAATGGGGAAAAAAAGGGAAAAAAATGGGGGAAAAATGGGGAAAAATGGGAAAAAATTGGGGAAAAAATGGGAAAAAATGGGAAAAAATTGGGAAAAAATGGGAAAAATGGGGAAAAAATGGGGAAAAAATGGGAAAAAAATGGGAAAAAAATGGGAAAAAAATGGGAAAAAATGTGCAAAAGTTGATTTTTGTTTTTTGCTGGAATTTTTGGGATTTTCAGGATTTGCAGAACAAGAGGAAAAGCTCCAAGGTGCAATTTTTCCTGAAATGAGGAAAAAATGGGAAAAAATGAGAAAAAAATGGGGAAAAATGGGGAAAAAATGGGAAAAAAATGGGTGAAAAAATGGGTGAAAAAATGAGAAAAAAATGGGAAAAAAATGAGAAAAAAATGGGAAAAAATGGGGAAAAATGGGGAAAAAAACGGGGAAAAAATGGGAAAAAATGGGAAAAAAATGGGGAAAAAATGGGAAAAAATGGGAAAAAATTGGGGGAAGAATGGGAAAAAATGGGGAAAAATGAGAAAAAAATGGGAAAAAATGGGAAAAAAATGGGGAAAAAATGGGGGAAAATGGGAAAAAAATGGGGAAAAATGGGGAAAAAATGAGAAAAAAATTGGGGAAAAAATGGGAAAAAATGAGGAAAAAATGGGGAAAAATTGAGGAAAAAATGG